CCTTGTCGGCCTCGCTCGCGAAGAAGACGGCGCCATTGCCGACGCCCAGGGTGCCCTTCTTCTTCTTGCCCTTCTTGTCGACCTCGGAGACGGACCAGGTCTTGATATCGTCTGATTTGATCTTGGTGGAGGCGACACGGGCGGCAGGGTCGACGTATGTGCTTACGGGCCGGGGGGGCTGATGGGGCGTGTGTCAGACGGCGCTCGGACGCCAGCAAAGGTGGACACGAACTGAAGGGGGGACAACGATCTGGGGCGCCGCCGGGGGCTCCTCCTCTCCCGAGGTCTCCTCGACGTAGTTTGCAGGGACGAAGCCTGCCTTTCCGCCGTCCTCGTCTGTTCCGACCAGGAGCCATTCCTCCTCGGTGTCGTATACAAAGAGAAGCTGGTCCTCTGTGATGGAGAGTTCTCCGGGCTCGGCGGCCGCGTAGTCGTAGAGAGCCTTTACGACGGAGGTGTGGTCTGCCTGGGGCGGGAGTCGGTCAAATGATTTAGCCGAGGTTTATTGCACATACTGGCTCGACGTATGCGGCGGGCACGAGCCCCACCGGACTATCGTCCTCCTGCGAGTCGCCCTTGACCTTGACCCTCCACCAGCTGCGGGGAAAGTGAGAAGTGGGGGATGGAGAGAAGGAAGGGTGTGTACTCCGAGTCTACCCGCTCCTTGAGAAAGAGAATCTGGTCCTCCTTGATCTCTATTTCATCCTCTGCCTCTGGTTCTGGCGTGTACGAGTAGGTCGCCTTCAGCACTGCGAGATACGACATGGTAGAGGTGTGACAATCACGCTTGGCTGCAGGTCCCGAAAGGAATTGATGCGAAAAATGTCATTGACCAACTCAGGTTACTCCTAGTCTGACTAGTTTGCCCGGCTCCGTGTTTCTGGGTACTATATCTTGCGCGCATTTTATTCGACACCCCACACACCCAGCAATGAGCAAGCTCAACGCAGCAGCCTACGAATTCGTCCCCGGTAAGGGCTTTTGTCGCGCCCCAGCCCGCACACCAAAGCCGGCAGAGCCTGTAGAACGCCCTGAGCAGACAGAGGCACCCCGGCCCCCTCCCACAATTTCCCTCAACATCGGCGGTGCAAAGCCCACTCTGCCGCCTCCAGCGACCGTCGCCGCCCCTGCTCCCGCCGCTCCACCACCCGCCGCAGCTCCATCAGCAGCATCCTCCAACGCCCCATCCCGTGTCCAAGACCTTTTCAACAGAAAAGGCAAAGACAGACACAACCGCCATCGCACAAGAGGTCCGCACCGTCGCAGACGACGCGGTTCTCGAAGATCTGTACTGGCGATGGTGCGTACCGTCCCAATCATCACACACCCGTGCTCACCCGTCCCACCAGCCAAGGAACATCTCAACATCGTCTTCATCGGCCATGTCGATGCCGGCAAGAGCACCATGGGCGGCAATCTGCTCTATCTCACAGGCATGGTCGACAAGCGCACAATGGAAAAATACGAAAAGGACGCAAAGGAGGCCGGCCGGGAGAGCTGGTATCTCAGCTGGGCACTCGACTCGACGCCGCAGGAGCGCTTGAAGGGAAAGACCGTCGAGGTCGGCCGCGCCTACTTTGAGACGCCCTTCCGCCGCTACACCATCCTCGATGCCCCCGGCCACAAGACCTTTGTGCCGTCCATGATATCCGGCGCCGCTCAGGCCGATGTCGCGATTCTCGTCATCTCCGCCCGCAAGGGCGAGTTCGAGACCGGCTTTGAAAAGGGCTGGTCAGACCCGCGAGCACATCATGCTGGTCAAGACCGCCGGCGTCTCCAAGATCATCATCGTGCATCAACAAAATGGACGACCCGACAGGTCAACTGGGACAAGGCGCGCTACGAAGGAAATCCGCGACAAGCTGATACCGTTTGTCAAATCCGCAGGCTTCAACCCCAAAACCGACGTTACTTTCATCCCCGTCTCCGCGTACACGGGGGTCAATCTCAAGGACCGCGTCGACAAGGCCATTTGCCCGTGGTGGACGTGCGTTTATTCACCGCGTTTATTTTTCTATGCTGATATTTCCACAGAGGCACCTCCTTCCTCGAACACGTCGACCACATGCCCATGGTGGACCGCAAGGTCAACGCGCCCCTCATGATGCCCGTGGCCGAAAAGTACAAGGACATGGGCACCATCGTCGTCGGCAAGGTCGAGTCCGGGCACATGCGCAAGGGCGACTCGCTCATCCTCATGCCGAACAAGGACCACGTCGAGGTCGCGGCCATCTACAACGAAATGGAGGAGGAGGTCAACACGGCGCTGTGCGGCGACAACGTGCGCATCCGCCTGCGCGGCGTCGAGGACGAGGACATCAGCCCCGGGTTCATGCTCACCAGCCCGCAGAAGCCCATCCACGCCGTGCGCCAGTTCCAGGCCGAGCTCGCCATCTTGGAGCACAAGAGCATCATATGCGCGGGCTACTCGGCCGTCATGCACATCCACACCCTGTCGGAGGAGGTGACGCTCCCTGTACGTGCGAATTATTCCTGGGGGGGAACGGCGCGCTCATTTATTTCCTTTGCTTAGGCGCTGTTGCACTACTTTGACAAGGCGACCGGCCGCAAGTCCCGGAAACCGCCCCAATTCGCGAAAAGGGGGCAGAAGATCGTCGCCCTCATCGAGACCAGCGCGTTGGTGTGCGTCGAGCGCTTCGCAGACTACCCCCAGCTAGGCCGCTTCACGCTACGAGATGAGGGTACGTCGCGTTTCCTAAATACAGTCTGCATACCCGCTAACTCGTTCGTAGGCCGGACAATAGCCATTGGAAAGGTACGTTGCTGAGGCGCGGAAATAAATAAACAACTGATTTCCTACCTTTCCAGATAACGAAACTCATCGAGGGACACATTGACGAAGCCGCCGAGGGTGTTGGCCAGCTGTCGATTAATTAAGCGATTACGCTGTGTAACATTCATTAGAGTTGTAACACGACCTGTACTTTTGGCCCAGACGTTTTGGCAGTGGATACCGAGGTCTTTCAACAACGAATGCGACGGCTCATCCAGTTCTCTGGCCACTATTACTTACATGATCTGAGCGCTGACGATGTGGTGATGCATGCCCAGTGTAATTCAAGCTGTGAAGAAGTTGAACGCCGAACACATCCCGCTCCGTTGAACACATAGGTAGCAGATTATTCTTGTCACGGATGAGATTCATTATGCATGTCTTGACCACATCTGAGCTACCTGACTAGTAATTAAATAGAAGCCGTGAAAAGTAGGGCATACAGTACGCACCCCTCTGATATGAGTAGCTGAGGACTGTGGCTCGGGCTGGCTCGGGGGAAAATGCGACGAGTTCTAAAAATCTTGAAGGTTGGAATTTATTACTGCGGCGAGTAATAATTGAAAAAGGCCAACCGCAGAGAACACTTGGGAGATGGGGGCGGGTCTGGAAAGAGGTCGATACGACCTACTCGGATCGGGAGTCGCCTATTCGCAGTTAGGACATGATTTGTTTCATCTTAGGAATATAGATGCCAACAATTGTTGTCTTTCATCGGCCGTCTGGCGAAATGGCATCGCGTCTGACTACGATTTCGATCACGTGGCACGTGATCTGTTATGTAATTTCGCACGCGCCACAAAGCCAATACTGGCTTTATGTTTCAACTCAAGATAGTAGAGTGTATTAGCTGCAATAAATATTGAAACTTCTGAGGCTCTGATTGGCTTGGGGCTGTGGAGCAGCCAATCGGATCGCAGAATTCCAATATATATTCTGTGGCTAATACACTCTAGTATATATAGGTGTTTGATATGGTTCAAGAAATGCCGACCGGGTATTGTTTTGCAAGGGGGCATGGCAACATCTGGGATGAAAAATTCCTAAGGCCCTCCGGGCATCCCTGGAACCTGGATAATGAACTGCGACCCAGAAAGCAACGTTGACTCGTTATTGACAAAAACACATAAATGTGTCGCAAACCCTTCTTTGAGCAAACCAGTGTCGCAAATGAGCCTCTAAAGACCATATCGTGTTAAAGCCAACATTTAAAAACACGAGTAAGTTAAGACAGTGATTAGACAAAGGCTACATCCAGACCAAGAATGGCATAGACCGAAAGAACCTTCCCTCTGCCACCCTTTACTAGGACGTCGAATCATAGCCATCACGGCAAGACCCGTGGAATGACTACCCGATTGGATCCGAAAATTCGGCCGTTTTGATACGGTAACCACAGATTGTAGTTCATCACGAATTTCGACTTTTTGATTTCAGACCTGGTAACCTATATCGGTTCCAGGAACAAATGGGGACATTGTCCCAAAATCCGGGATGAATTAAATGGCGGCCGTTCATGTTACCCAAAATATTTAAAGAGCAATCTCTCATCCAAGAAAAAAGGATGAAAAAAAGGTGGCCCTCCCCAAGACCCGCGGATACCGCAATAGCCTCGATGGCCCACTGAGCTCATCCTTTTTTCCGGGATGAAAAAAGAGTCGGCCTCTATGAGGGGGGCAAAAAAAAAATGTGGCCGCTCATCCTTTTTTCCGGGATAAAAAAAAGGGGGCCTAAACATTTCTCCAGGAACAACAAAAGGCCAAAAAAGTGACCGAGCTAGGGGTCGAACCTAGAGTCTCCTGATTACATAACCCATCACATGATCGTAGTCAGACGCGATGCCATTTCGCCACACGGCCATAAAAGGTACACATTTTAAGAAATAAAGGTCTAGATAAAAAGAAAACACCTGGTCCGGCAACTGCCGCAAGTGTGGTCCTGGCCCTGCTTTTGATTTCGTATGCGGTTGGTGGCGCCCCCTTGAAAAGACAGCCCGTTGAATCGGCCGCCAAAAGATTTAAAGAAAAGACTCACCGCCGAAACAGGTCACTTTCAAATTGCGGACACCGCCCGTCTGGTAAATCCCCCCCCCCCCCCCCAAAAAAAAAAGGTCGAGGGGAAAAAAACATTTCTCCATGTGGCCGCTCATCCTTTTTTCCGGGATGAAAAAAAGGGGGCCTAAACAGAGAAATGGAAAAGCTAAAAAAGGCCATCCTAGGGATTGAACCCAGAGTCTCCTGATTACATAGGGCGGAAAAATGGAGGAATCGTAGTCAGACACGATACCATTTCACCACACAGCCATAAAAGGCAAGCATTTTAGGAAATAAACGTCTAGATAAAAGAAAACACGTGATCGCTTTTGACGCAAAGGAACGTCGCTGGTGCCGCAATGTTATTGGTCTGGGATCCAAAAAGTGGCTACGGCTTAGCTGGCGCCCTTTCCGGGATGAGAAAATGTTGAACCCATGGGGTGCTCATCTTTTTTTTTCTGGGATGAAAAAATGGTGAGGGGCACCCGCCGAGACATGCGCTTAGAGTATAGTATTCAGACTAACGCCGCAGAAATGGGTTTAAAAGGTTTTTGGATTTTTGTTTACGCCGAGGGTAAATTCCGAGAGGGACTGACGAGGTCAACCTTGCAGTGGGCCTGCAAAAGGTATGCTGTTTGGCTAATTTCTGGCGCTTCGTTTTAGCCATTGTCCAGTGCGATTTGTGTTGCAGTGGATTGGTGTGTGGAATGATGCGCCGGTAAATGCCGAAAATGCTCTCGTTCTCAGGACCAGTATGTAAGATAAGATAAGATACATGGGAGGCCGTCTGGCGGAATGGCCCTTGGTGATGCAGGACCCATTCGGCCCAATTTTCCCCCATGGCGGCTGTCTGGCGAAATGGCCCCCTGGGCTGCGCCCAGGTATCGGACACCCGCATCGACGGAGATTGTAGGTTCGACCCCTACGTCGGTCATTTTTGCTCTTTTTGGCGTTAGAAAGTCTTCAACTTTGGCTTCCGACCTTGTTTTTTCCGAAAAATCAAAGGTTCAACTGGTGGAGATGCTGCAAAAAGGTTTACATGCAAAATTTCCTAATTTGGACATTGGCGTTGATAAGTTTGGTGTTGTTTGCATCCACGTAATCACGACACTTCCATGACTGATCTTCAAGCTCTGCTTGCTGCCGGCCTGTGTATCGTAGAGTCTTCACCAGCCAATGCATCTCCTGACCTTCGGTCTGTTTTACTCTCTCGCTTGACGCGCTACTATGCGTGTTTAGAGTCGGATAATACCCTCGACCATTCCCAAACGCTCCAGGACCTCGAATTGACAACGGCTGCCGAGGCTCTGAACGTGTTGGAAAAGGTTCACGCAATCCTCGACGCTGAAGACTCTTCGATTGGTACCCGGGATCTAGCAGAACTACGTACCTTGGTCGCAATTGTGTTTAAATGGGGAGTGGAGCCTCTACTTTCCCGAGCAATGCTGGCATGGCCAAGCAAGTCGGCTCGTCCGCAGATAATAGACCTCACAACTTCTCCAGAGGACTACAAGCTTCTGAGTGCCATGGTTACTCGTCTGTTACATCTGGCTCTCCCCACCGGCTCGCCGACCTTCATCACGATGACACTGTTGAATCGCCATCTCGATCCACTTTTGAGACCATGTATTGCCCTCGGCTGGCTTCCAAAAGGGCTTGCTTCTGATGCAGCACCAGACGCTATCCATCCATTGACAATGCGACTTTTAGGAACGTGAGTCTAGAATTTTCATGTAATGACTATCGTTTTCAGTTTAGTTCTAGCTTGCCGCCGTCCCAGACCATCACGGCTCTGGGAGCAGTATTATCGACAAAACCTTGCCCTCCTCACGTTCACAAATCCTGCGCTTCCCTCCTCAGCAAGCAGCTCCTCCGTCCTGACGGCATACGTGGATTATGTGCCGCTGTTTTTGGGGAGGACGCCGATGAAGTGCCATTGGAGAAGCTAGAACACGTCGCTCGGGTGCTGACAACGCCTCCAGCGAGCACGAGTCCCGAGGCGAGACCTTTCCCTGCATCCCGCAGAATTAAAAAAAACTGACACACCCAAAGACGTACTTTGCTGCAATTACGCCCAGTGTTCTGGAGTTGTTGTCGGATCGCGCACCTCCGGCGTACAGGCGTGCAGCCGCATTCTCTATATCTCGTATGCTGGCGACCGCCGCTGCCCCCGCAGTGCTTTCGTTTTTACATCCTCCATTTCTCACCACGACCTCGGCACTGGCCCCACGCGCAACCCTATCCACCATAATGTTGCTTGTCACTAATACTGATCCCTCACCCACTCTGATATCTACTCTGCTGACTCCTATTGCATCGGCACTGTACTCGTTACTGTACCATTTGGATCGAGTCAAGACTTCTGATCCAAGCCTAAAAGAGTTGTTACGAGGACTGCTTGGGACGTGGGGCAGGGTCATTGGTGCAACAGAGGCGCTCGCTATTTTGTGGTCTGTGATTGACGGCCAGGGTGGGGAGTGGCGCGTGGATTTGGAAGGTCAGATTACCCGTTTGGAAGAGTGAGCCCCCGGCATTCTGCCCCATTTGCATGTTTAATGGTTGCGCGTCAGGTCTGAAAAAACAACACCGCTGGCACTTTTGACTCCGGCAGACGAGGAGGTCGACCTAGACGCGAATATCTTGGATCTGTACCCAGATCCTGTTCATTTCGTTCGCTTTCTACAGTCCATTCAACGTACGGATATATCCTCCGATCTCTTTGTGAGATTACTGGAATCGTACCGGGACTCAAAGGACGACGCAGAAGGCGACCCGACCCGGTCAGTCGCTTCTCGTGTTTTGGATCTCACTGACTGTGCACATAGAACACTGCTCTATCTGCAGCTGGTCATTCAAATGCAGACTCAGCTCTCGGATGGGGCGTCCAACATTCTCGGAAAGCCGGCTCATATGCTTTCGTTCATTAAGCATGCGCTCGAATCTTCAACTACAGTCCCCGCAAAAAAGCTCTCCCAAACTCGTTCCTTCCAGCTGGACCCTGACGATTCAGAAGAAGGCGACAGCGATGACGATACACCTGGCGCGGAACTCATCAACCCTCACGATGAAATGACCGAGACTTCACTCAATCTGCTTCTTGCTATACTTGAAGGTGAGGCTTTCTTTTTCGGCTCGCGCGGATTCCAACTCCATTGCGACAGCCAATGAAAATTTGTCGGCAAAGACGGCGCCCATTCTGGACGAGATATCGGCAATGTTGGGAGAGCTGTCTTTGACTGGATCTTCTTCGGTCCAGCCGTTGGCACGAGAGGCGAGGATGGTCATGACTGCTCGCTTGGCATCTACATCGGCCCCGAGAAATATTGCAGACGAGGAGGATAGCGCTCAGGACATTTATCAAAAGGCTCTGAAACTTCTCCAAGATCCGATATTACCCGTTCGAGCCCATGGATTGCTGTTACTTCGACAGCTAGTCAGTCCTAGGAAATCCCAAGGGGCGGCCCACCTTTCCGATCCCGCGTTGACACCGGCCATATTATCTATATTTCTTCAGTCCATACAAGACGACGACTCCTACCTGTTCCTCAACGCCGTGCAGGGTCTGGCGGCCATGGTGGACACTTATGGCAAGGACGTGCTACGAGGGCTAGTCAAAGAATATAACCAGGGCCTCGATGGGCTGGGTGTTACCAACATCACACAGCATGACATGGATATACGCATTCGAATCGGGGAAGCCCTGGCATCTGTGATCAAACGATGCGGGGCTGCTCTACCTGCCTACAGTAATTCCCCTTTCGTTCCCTACGTTTTTTAAGCTGATGTTTCCCAAGTTGATATGCTGGTCCCCCCGCTATTTCAAGTCGTGCGCTCGTCGCATGTACCAGCGACTCTCAGAACATCGGCTCTCTCATTGCTAGCCGAATGCGAGAATACTTGCGCGCTAGCTCTAGTACCGTATGTTGCCGACCTATCGGAGGCCATGGTCGATTTGCTGCAAATCGAGAGCACAACTGCGAGCACCGCGGAAGAAACCGACCCCACATCGGTGGATTCGAAACTGCCCCCTTTCCGGCGGGCAGCTTTGCACTTTTTAGGACTGTTAATCCGCGAAACGACGAAACAACTATATGAATCTTCGCATGCAGAGTTTTCAGGTATCCTGTTGAGACGGATTAAAACTACGTTGTCATATGTTGCTTCAACTGATGGAGATGCGGTAGTTAGAGTGATGGCACGAGAGGCGGTGGAAGGGTTGAGAGAATTGGAAGAGGCAAAACTGGAGGGACAGTACAAGTACAAGTAATAGTTGTAAAGATAAATGCCCAGGTGCCTTTCAGCAAAAAGACCCGTATTCCAAAAGATAACAAAACATGTGGTCTCTCCTAGACAGACATTTCAACAGATGCTCTTGAGATATATTTCTCGCGCACTTGCATCGGTGAGTGAGCCGATGAAAATCAGGAAAAATATGCATTGGGGCAAATGTAGCCGTCTCTGGACGTTGTCTACCTCGTATCTGTCTCAGATGCGGAGAGTTCGTGACAACTGAGTCAATAGGAAGGTATGGTTGATGTAGGTTTTATTCGCGACTGCGACCCAGCTCAGGTCACCAAATGACAAACGGTGCTCTGCGAAGGGGAAAACCAGAACGGGATCAAGTGCCCGCCGGATTTGTGGGATTAGCAACCACTCTGCTAATTTCGTCTATGCGCTGTCGAAAGTTCTTCCAATTCGAACGGCCAACAAGAAGGTAGGGAGAATGGTCATTGGTTGTGTCGGCTGGTGCGTCTAGTTTCAGAAAAGGGTTCGATATCGCAGAGTAATACGCCATGTGAAGAGCCTTGAATATCTGAAAAGTAGCTCTGCAGTCAGAATAAGAGGGTGTAATCCAATTCAGTCGGCGCACCATGGTGACCTCTACATCTCGAACCACGGAATCTGACAGAGCCAACGCAATCACAATCTTGACTTTCAGAGGTGTGATGTACCCGTAAACAGCAACATCCTCCATGGAGTACAGTAGACCGAGATAACATTCAGTGGACTTGCCCCCCGCTGCTACTGCTTTCAGGGTTAGAAGAAGAGCTTAAAGAAGAAGAAGCTTCAACCTCGCTCTTCTATCACGTCCAAACTTGTGTGGGCGATATAATGATATTTTATAGCATGGTCGTCGTGCTTGGTGAATGTGCGGATGAGGATGGGGTGGTTTTGAGGCGATATAAAGGCCACAGCGTTCAGCGTTTTAGGACTCATGAGTGTTTATAGTTGCTTGGCGGGACAAGAACAAACAACGCCGGCCTCCAAAT